TGACTCCACGCAAATGATGGAATCCCTTTACACGATAGCCATGCCCGACGGCTACTGGACTAGATATTCTCCGACCACACTTCCATTTTGTCAAAACAATTCTTCAACGCTCCATTCTGATATTATAGGGTAAAATCCCTACTCTTCATCTTCAAAAATAATTAAAATTGCTAAACCATTTAATCTCATAATTTTCGGACCTAAAATTTCTTCTTTGTGCATAATAGCAGCCAACTCTTTCATTTTCATCTTATTTGTACAATTTTTACTTCACTCATTGCATCTCTCAAAAGTTGAATGATTGCTGGTTTAATCTTAGGGTCCATTTGGTCTCCTCCCCGTGGAAAAAAACTTCACCTTCAGAACTTTAGGATCCATCCTTCCTTCAACTATCTTCTTTTGTTTTGTTAAATTAGGATAGAAGATAAATACAAGATTTAGATGTATATTCTCTTTTGTTTTGTTATATATTCATCTTTAATTTTGGTTTAGGACTAGTTAAACTTTGGGGGAAAGGTTGAGAATAATTTTAGAATTATGATTTTATTTTTTGAATTTTTTTATGAATTGTTAAACACTTCTTTTGGGCATCAAACTAATTTTCAGTATGATATATATAGTAATATTTGTTTTAAATACTCTCAATCATTTGACAATAAACGCTCAATCACCCTTGGCAGTCGTTGGTGCTCGAACCTATTACCTTTAAGAAGAGCAATGATTCCTTTAACCATTAAAGGTAAGTTGGTTTGTGCTTTGGTATGATACTTGGGTCGACAAGAAGGGCCCTCTTTGTGAAGTTTGCGATCCGACTAAGCTACCAGAAAGATCAAAAGTTGTTGATTGTCGCACTCACTCTGGTCTATCATTGATAAAGAAAAGTTGCATATAGAAGTTAATAAAATCAATAAGCAGCAGATCACAGAGAAGAATAATTGGCAGCGACCTCCATCAGGATGGACCAAAGCGAATGCGGATGGCGCTGTGCGAGTTATGGATGAGGCAGCGGCATGTGATGGGGTGATTAGAGATGAACAAGGACGATGGATTTATGGTTTCACACGTAGTCTGGGAAGGTGTTCGGTCCTTATGGAAGAGGTTTGGGATATCCACGACGTGCTTAAACATTCATAGAGGCTAGGTTTTGGAGAATCTGCTTAAACAATGCAGGTTTTGGAGAATCTGCAGTACCATTTTCCCCATTTTCTATTTCGGTCAATGGATCTTTCAAAGCTCCAATGATTGCTGGTTTAATCTTAGGATCTAAGCCCTGGAAAAAGCTTCTCCTTCATAACTTTAGGATCCGTCCTTCCTTTGGCTGCCATCTTTGTCATGGATTCAAAGAATATTTTTCATCAGCAATTCTATTACAATTTTAATTTGTTTGGTGTGACAGGAGTAAGGTTGGGAGATGATTAGTGGCATTGTAAAACTTCAATGATCTCAAGAATCAAGTAATATACAATCAAATTTAATTATTTTTTTAACTATTAGTATCTTCCATAAAAGATATCTTTATATAAACCATCATAAGACAGTATTGGAAGAGTTATCTAGAGAAGATTGAATTTCTAGGTCAACAGACAATTTTATTTTTGTTTTGAGAAAATTCCATAACATTTAGATGCAAGCATGCGTGCATAACATACATAGATATTGCATGTGCATAGGGTTGTAAAATCGGGTAATCGTTCAGGTTTCAGTCGGATTCTGGCAGGTCGGGTAAAATCGGATACAGGTCAAGTTAGGTAAATTTTACACCAGATCCAGATCGGGTTCAGGTCATGTCAAAGCAGTTCGGGTTATTTTCAGGTTGATTTGACACCAGATCCAGATCGGGTTCAGGTCAGGTCATTTTCAGTTCGGATCGTTGTCAGTTCAGGTCAAAACAGTTCAGGTCCGAAGCAGTTAAAAAGCAGGTTAATTCAGGTTCGGATATACTTCAGCCAAATCTCGTTCAGATCGGGTCATAATATTGGCTGATAAAATTCCGGTCGGATCTCTATCAGATACGGATTGAGTTCAAATCGGACTAATTTTTATTTTTGGATTAATTATTTTCGTCTTTCGCGAACGTTGAATTGTAATTTGTAATTGTATATGATTTAGAGTAAATTACTAAGAATATAAATAATCATGATTCAATTTTATGAAAAATATAAATTTAAGAATTCAATTGAACAAATATGAAATCACAAATAAAAATTTAAATAAATTAAACAAAACACATTGATGATGGATCAAATCGAAATAATTTTAAATTGTGATGTTGAAATTAATACAAAAAAGTACTAAATTATACCTATTTAAAAAGTTATGGGCCAATTAAAAAATATAATTAAGTAAAAAGTATGGATCAATTTCACATGCAAATAAAATTTGGAGGACTAAATTGAACAAATATGAAATTACAAATAAAAATTTAAATTAATTAAACAACACACATTGATGAGGGATAAAATCGAAATAATTTTAAATTGTGATGTTGAAATTAATACAAAAAAGTACTAAATTATACCCATTTAAAAAGTTATGGGCCAATTTAAAAATAGAAATAAGTAATAAGTATGGGTCAATTTCATATGCAAATAAAATTTGGAGGACTAAATTGAACAAATATAAAATTACAAATAAAAATTTAAATAAACTAAACAACACAAAAGGGATCAAATCGAAATAATTTTAAATTTTGAGGTTGAAATTAATACAAAAATGTACTAAAAAGTTATGGGCCAATTAATAAATAGAAATAAGTAATAAGTATGGGTCAATTTCATATGCAAATAAAATGTGGAGGACTAAATTGAACAAATATGAAATTACAAACAAAAATTTTAATAAATTAAACAACTATTGTAATATAAAATGGACTAAATTGCATTCATTTTAAAAGTTGAGAAAAAATTAAAACAACTAATATATATATATAGTTTATATAAGTATATGTATTATATATATAAACTGTATAGTTTATATATATATTATGTATAAACTATAGTCTATATGTACCATGTATAAATTATAATACTATATAGTTTATATATGAACTATTGAACTATATAGAACCTACATAGTTTATATATAAATTATATATGAATTATATATAAACTATACGATTATATTTATATATTATGTATAATTATAAATAATATATTGTATAAATTATATAGTTTATTAATATAAACTATATATATGGTTTAGGGTTTAAATATTAGGGTTTAAGTATTAGGGTTTAGGGTGTATATTTATATTTATATTTATATTTATATTTATATAAACTACATACTATAATTTATATTTATATACTATTTATATACTATTTATATAAACTATAGTTTATACTTATATACTATATATAATATATATGAACTATAGTTTACATATGAACTATATATATACTAACGTTGATATTTATATATGAACTATAATTTACATATAAACTATATAGTTTATATACTAACTATAGTTTAAATATGAACTATAGTTTACACATGAACTATATATATATAAACAATATAGTTTACATATGACCTATATATATATATATATTATAGTTTATATTTATATACTATATTATATATATATAAACTATATATACTATATAGTATAATTTACATATGAACTATATAAAACCAAATAAACTATATACTATAGTTGATATTTATATACTATATAAAATAATTTATACTATATTATATATAAACTATATAAACTATATATTATATAGTTCATTAATATATATAAACTATATAGTATATGTAAACTATATAGTACATGTATGTATAAACTATATATAATATATATAAACTATGTATAGTACATATAAACTATATATATATATATATAACCTATAGCATATGTATATATAAACTATATATATAACCTATAGTATATGTATATATACAATCTATTTATATGTTATATAAACTATATATGTAACCTATAGTTTATAAACAATAGTTTATATTAATGTACTATATAGTTTATACTTTATAACCTATAGTATATAATTTATAAACTATAGTTTATATTAATGTACTATATAATTTATATTAATGTTAATTATCTTAACTATAATTTATATTAATATAGTATATAGTTTATAAACTATACTATACTATATTAATATTAATTATATTAACTATAATTTATAAACTATACTATATAATTTATAACATATAGTTTATATTAATATTAATTTTATAAACTATATTTTATATTAATTTTAATTACAAATTATAAACTATATTATATTAATATAAGTTAATATTAATATTAATTATATTAATATTAATTATAATATATAATTATTTTAATATTAATTATAAATATTTTATTAATATAAATTTTATACGGATGAAATAAAAAACACGCGCCAAAATAGCCTTTTCTCCCGCTTCTTCCCGGCCAAACCCTCCCTCTTTTTATTTTCGATATTTCATATTCCCCGCTCAGTATCCAAAATCTCTTCCTTTTCTCTCGTTTTTCCTCTTTCATTGTTGTTTCCATTTGCCGAACGGCGATGCACCATCAGCAGTCGAATATTTCCTCTTCGGCCTCGGTGTATTCTGCAGCGGCGGCGTTTACTTTCAGTTATCTTACTCGACTAGAGGGCTTTCCCTCACATCCTACTCTTCATTATAGAAGGTTCTTTCCAATACGGGGAAATCAATTTCATTCAATGCCAGCATCGCTCTCAAGCTCCAACTCTGATTTTAGCTTTAGTCAGCTGAGCGACTATCCTCCTGGAGTTCGGAATCGGCAAGAGAGAAGAAAGAGAAGAGGGACGTATTTAACAGCAAGGAAGTGGAATCAATCCCCTTTTTTTTTTGTCAAAAATGATTGATAGATGGATGTATGCTGCGACCTGGAATATGGATTTCGGATTCCGCTGTAGAACGAATTAACACAAGAATTTTCCCTTATTTTTTTTGTCTTTTCTCTTTCGTTTCATTGATAAAACTGAGTGTGTATTTGTTCTGTTGTGGTTTAGTTGACCAATGGATTCTCAGACCAACACCGAGGACTGCCTCGCATGGGCCGCCACAGATCCATCTGGAGTTTTATCACCATACAAATTCAGTCGCAGGTGCGTCGGACTCGTTCTTTCTTTTTACCTCCTGATTGACCTATTTTTAATTTATTGCCGATTTCACAGAACAGAATAATACAAGGAATCTTTCTTGTAGCACCATTCATTCGTTTGACTATTAGAAACTACTAAACCTTATACCAATTCCGTGTTCTTCTCGGCCTGACTGATGTTTGTTTGAGGCAGTAATTTTCAATGTCTTTTGTTGACTTTGTCCTATAACTAATGTATTCAGGCCTCTCGGAAGTGACGATGTCTCCATTAAAATTACTCACTGTGTAATCTGCTACGCTGATGTTATTTGGTCGAGGAATATGCTTGGAGATTCAAAGTATCCTGTGGTGCCAGGGTATGATATATTTTTCTTTCTTTTTTAAAATTGTAAATTATCATTGCTTTTCTAGTTTGATCTTAAGCTGATATGGTTTTTATAACTGTTTCCATTTCAGGCATGAGATTGCTGGTATTGTGAAGGAGATCGATTCCAATGTTCAATGCTTCAAGGTCAGTGATCACGTTGGAGTGGGAACTTATGTCAACTCATGTAGAGATTGTGAGTATTGTAATGTTGGCTTCGAAGTTCAGTGTGAAAAACTGAAGGTTCCCACGTTTAATGGTATTGATGTGGATGGAACGGTCACAAAAGGTGGATATTCTAGCTTTATTGTTGTCCATGAAAGGTAAGCATTTCATGATTCATAAACTTTATGAGTTTTTATTGCATGAAGTTGTTTCTTACAAAGTTAGATCTGTGATAAGATATCCTCCCAACAGTTTTATGTGATCCCACTGCCTAAAACTATGGTTCAAATGGGGGTTTCTTTCTTTTGTTATAATTTGAGCTTATATTTGTTGCTTTGCTAGATAAGTTTTCTAGGTGTTATTAGGTTAGCTTTTCAGGATACTGCTTCCAAAATATGCACTTTAATTTGGAGATGTTATAGGTACAGATCATCAGGATGAAAAATACTTAATTTACAAGCAACTGTTTGATTTATGGGTTTTGCACCTTTGTTGTTGAATCAACAGGCACTGCTTCAAAATACCAAACAACTATCCTTTGGCTTCAGCAGCACCTCTGCTTCAAGTAATAATCGTGTTTAAGACTCACACATACGTCTTGTGCATAGCTGCATTTATCCTGTAAATGCCCTATTCTTCTCTAAACCTATTCACTAACACGTTTCACTGCATTTTTCGGTGGAATTCAGTTTGCCACGGCACAACTACCTCTTCTTGAACTTATGGATTGTGGGATGACAATATGTGATTCTGATTATTAGAATCCACCTTCTGATCAAAATTATGACAGTGAAGTTCCAAATGTATTGAACAATAAACTACACCTTATGTACCAGAAGATTATCATCAAACACAGCTGACTAAAGAAACTCAGCTTGTGGGGTTGTTCTGGATTAGATGTGAGCTCTTTTAGTCCTTAATCTCGAGTATGTTTCTAGTTGCTTCTCAATATCTTGTGGTTCTTATTTGTTGAATCTCAATGTAGGCTTTATGTTTGAATTGTAAGGGTTTGGTAAAGTCGGAAATGTTTGTCATTGTTGGCCATTTAATTTCCTTTGGCTTTACCACTGATTGTATGCTTTTTTTATGCAGAATGCTTGCTGAATTGATGTAATGATGCTTGTTGAATTGGTATATTGATGCTTGCCGGTTGTTGCTGTCTATTACTTATTGATGTCCTGTAAATTATTGTTGTTGGTATGACTTAAATCAATTTTTGAACCTTATAAATTCTTATCTAAATAGTTAATCATGTGAGATTATGTTGATGACATTTTGGCTTTTAAAGCTAGAAAGTTGCCCATAATTAAATATGCTGACAGCATTTAGGTATAAAGGCTCGATGATATTTCTGGTAGTATAGTTAGGATTTTAGCTTTGTAAAACCTTAGCTATAAGAGCATTTATTTTAACATAAATTTATTTTGTTTAGTTGATTTTATTGTAATTTTAGTGTTTTCAAATGTAATAAAATTAACTTCATTTATAATTTTTTTTTTTGTTTTAGTATTTGTAATTTTATTCAATTTTCAAATCTTTAATAAGTTCATCATTTCAACTAATATAGTTTTTATTTTAAAATTTCAAGTTAAGTTATACTTAAATTATTAATCAATTTTCACATTAAAAGTAAATTAGATTTATGAATATTATAACTTAATTTATATAATTTAATAAAATTATGTTCAATAAGAAAATATTTAAATTTAATTTAGTGATTATAAATAAAATTTATAATATAAGAATTATAAATAATATAAAGAATTGAAATTAATATAAAAATCAAATTTATAATATGCAAATTATAATTAATATAAAAACTAAATTTCAAAAAGTAATCATATTAATTTAATTATCATAAGTTTATTATAAATTTAAAATAACATAATTATATTAATTGTAACTCGTTACTTATAAGTCATGACAATATTATATTACTTTAATAACATGTCGGATTATTTACAGGTTGAGTCAATTACATGTCAGATTCATAACAGATCAGGTTGAAAACAGGTCGGGTAATACTAGTTATTTACTAGGTCAATTTCGGGTTCGGGTTCATATCAGTCGGATGCAGTTCGGGTTCGGGTATCATATTTTCGGTTCAATTCGGGTTCAGGTCGTTCTTAGGTCGGGTTCAGATCCACAATTTCCAGGTCCAACTCAGGTTCAGGTTAACACTAGTTCCGACTTGAGTCGGTTTCGGATCGCCACAGTACAGGTCAAAAACAGTTTTGACTTGAGTCGATTTCTGTCAGTTTTACAGGTCGGGTCAACTTTTTACACCCCTACAAGTGCATCTACAAAGCTATTACAATGCCTTTTTTGGGAACCACCTTTCACAGTTTCTATTTCCGTCACTGCATCTTTCAAAGCTTCAATGATTGCTAGTTTTATCTTCGGATCCATTGTATCTCCTCCCCCCGGAAAAAGCTTCTCCTTCATAACTTTAGGATCCATCCTTCCTTCGGTTGCCATCTTTGTCATGGCTTCAAAGAATATTTTCATTAGAAATTCTTCCTCCTGTTGAGGTGAAGCTGATGCACCCAAATTTTCATTTGTATCTTTCACAACGCCTTTATTGATTGCATCTTGGAGCCCTTATGAAATGTCTTTTTTTGACTCATCCTCCATCACTTTTTTATTCTCAGCCTTATTACCAGTTTGGACCTCTTCTTTACTGTCTTCTTTCTTTTCTTCGGATTTTCCTTCCACGAATTGCATTGAGAGAATCAGGGCCAATGAGAACAAAACGAAAACGATCCTTGCCATCTCTTCTTTTCGTTAATGCTAAGCAAAAACAGTAATTGTTATTCAAAAGTGATAATTAAAGATGAAATTTAAAGAGTTTAAGATGAGATATTTGTGGCGATTTTAAGGTTTGTTGATTGGTCTAGTGCTTAAGTGCCACACACGAATAAGATAGCGAAGACTTTTTCTCATAATCTTTCAAAATTTGCAATATTTTCTCCGTACTTGTTTTCAAGATAATTTTTATAAACATTATATTTATTTGGGACATTGACACTTTCTAAAAATAAAATTAATTAGGTTTACTAAAACTTTTAACAACTTTTTAAAATTAGTAAAGTAATAATATTTCATTTATCGAAAATGAAAATTATGAACTCCAATAATAAAACAAGTATTGTGTCACTTGCATTTCTAGTATATATAAGAAAATATAATGTCGAATTTGAACTTTCGAAATACTTTCGAGCTTAAAGGTAGCAGTAGTTCGAAAGAAATAAAGAAATGAAAAGAAGAAGAAGAAGAAAGATGCTGTTCGGAAAAAAGAAAAGAAAAGAAAAAAGACATGAATAAAATGGAAAATAAAACAACAACAAAGAGAAAAAAATCAAATGCATTTCGAAAAGAATTTTATTGTTTGATAGTTTGTCTTTTTATCTTGTTGTGCTTAATGTTTTGATGGAGTTGAATTTGTTATTTGCTAGTTCATTGCCTTGAATTTTTAGCCACATATTTAGCCTTTTCCCCACCTTTACCTAGGCCCTGTTACAACCAATAAAAGACACTTTGATTTATGAATTTTTTTTATTAGTAGTGGAGATTTGATTTACTTGCAGGCCTATGGTAATATCGTGTCGGTTCTGACATTGAACGTTTCTTTACCCCAAACACATTGAGTGATTTGAGTGAATCCCGGTAAGGTGTTGAGTTATAAGCATTGAGATTGATGAATGAATGGATTTTACAATTGCATTTGAATAATTATTGTGGTCTCTACCTTGCTTCCTTGAATGTGAAACTTGACAAAAAAGGTAAATGAAATTTTTGACTTATTTGATTATATCATACTTGAGGAAAAGCATGAGATAAGTGAGGAGAAATTTGATGAGTGTTCAGAATCGGTAGTATTTGCTCGTTAATTCTTTGATCTATGTATTTATTGTTGCTGATTTGGTTGTGTTATGCTTTTTTCGTGCAGGGTCTTACTTTCCAAACTTAGTGGCAAAACGGGAGCATTATACATTTTTTTATTATTTGGTCACGGCTGGAGACATGGGCACGACTTTGGGCATGATGCGATCTGACGTGGTAGTTTCTAGAAGGTCCAGTCAGCGACAGTTTCTAGAAGATCTAGTCAGCGCACCTTCAGGAAGATGGACGACGGGCAGAGTTGCATTAGGAGACTTATTTTAAAGTTTGAATTTAGAAAACATTTATCTTTACGATTATTTTTATTTTGATTTCTTTGTTTACCTTTAGGATTTTAGAGGCTATAAATACCCTCTTGGGGTAAGCCTAAACACACATTTATTTTTCAAGTTTTTCAGTTTTTACTTTATTTTTAAAGCTTTGTTTTTAAATATGCTAAGCATGACTTTTGTCATGCTTAGCTAATTTTCTCATAAGCCGAGAGCTGAAGCGATGACTCAATTCCAACGGGAGAATTGAAACAGACCCTTAATAACTTCGAAATATCTCTCTCAATCTCTGCGCTTATTTTTCAAAATCAAAACAGTTTTCAAAATCAAAGATTGACTTTGGTCAAGAGGTTGTTGCTATTAAATGTGTGGGAGAAAGGATTGGCTTATTGAAAGCGCATTCGACTTCATGGGAACACACTTGGCGAGATAGTCTTGCCAAGAGGGAATTGAGATCGGAATTAGTGGTTATTGAAGCAACAATCTGAGTCGGTCTTCACGAACTTAAACGGTAATTGATCTACGACAATTGATGTTGATTAGATCAGTTTCTGAAGCCGGAATCAAAGATTGCCTTGGGTATTCGGTATACAAAATAGAGTCACAGGGATTGTCCTTGTAGACAAAGTAACCGACGTGAATCCCGAAGGGAAAATCTAATTCGATGATCTAAAGGAAATTGAGTCAAAGCGAGGCTTGAGGCTATTTTTTTTACCATATTCAATTTTCAATGTTACACTCTTTATTTTCTTATTTTCACTTAAAATTGCCTAATTTGACCCAATGAGCTCATGCCATCAATATTTGACCTTTTTTCTCCCACGTTTAAACAAGACAAATTAAATGGAATGCATAACTTGTTTCCAAAATATTTGCTAATAAAAAATCTCCTTTTACACTCAATTGGATCTAATTTTCACTTAATTAAGCCTGATTTGACCCAATGAACTCAATTGTAGTTATTAATTTATTCATGTCTCGGATCAACGTACAAATGTTGAATCGAAATTCATATTGTCACAAATTCTCTACACAACCTAAATTGATGTATATCTCATAATTAACCTCATAATTAATATATATCCTTTTTTGCACATCAAAAATTATAATTTATTATTAAAGGGGAGCAAAACACAATAACAAGTGTTTTATCATTAGATCACTAAGGTAAATCAACATAAATTTGAAAACTTAGTTCAAAGCATATAAAATAAATTTTAGAATGATCACTTTGATTTGGTAATTTATTTGTTCAATATTTAAGCTTTATGAAACTTTAATGGATTCAAGAATTAAGTAATATACAACCAAATTTATTTATTTTCATTATTAGTATCTTCCTTAAAAGAAATCTATATAGAAATTATCATAAGATAATATTGGAAGAATTATGTAGGAAAAGTTGAACTTGTAGGTCAAAAGACAATTTTTTTTGAGAAAATTTCATAGCCTAATTATCTTTAAAGAAAAAAATTCATAAAACTTTTTTATTAAGCCTAATTATCTTTTTAAAGAAGAAGTATGAATGCCTAAAATAAATATAATGTTTATAATATTTATTTTGAGAAAAGAAATGCACAATCATAAAGTAA